GAAGTATGTTTGTGATTTTTTTCTATCGTATTAAATTAGTGGTATCATGTTTTCAACACACTATCTAACTAGCATATATCCTGGACAATATCATATATTTTTCTGGGTTTGTTTACTGCAGTGGATCATATACTTTGAGGCATTATAAAACTTGCGTTTAGGGTCATGCCTCGTCTTAAAGGATTAAATTCCGGTTGTAATAGTTTTAATGTAATAATAGCGCGGTCTGGGGCAATTAAACACAATTCTATTAAATAAGTTCTTATTGTTGCAATACTTAGTCTTGCTAATTGCTAATGCTTAAATTGCTAATGCTTAGTCTACGATACTTCAATAGTACATTTTCTAAATATTCTTTATAAATCTCTTCATTTTCAGTCTGTGGATCTAACTCTAATGGCCGACGAGGGTGGGATTTCTTCTAAATCTGAGGGTGTGTCTGAATCATTTGCTTCCTGCTCCGTTTCACTTTTATGCTCACTCTGTTCTTCGAAATCTTTTTCCGACACAATTTCTTCTTCATTGTCTTCCTCTTCAAGCAATTGTGCTATTGTATTCTCCTTAAGTGGACAAGCCATTGTGAAAAAGCACTAATACAAAAAAATGTTCATTAGCAAACCGAAAAATAATATAACGAAAACAGTCGCTACTGGGTAATTTTTACCCTTACGCACTTTATACGTCCATTGTCGCTAAGCGCCGCACGCAAACAGGCTGCCCCGTGACCCGCGCATGGAATATGATTCAGCTTGAAGGTACCTAGAATTGCAATTTGCTCGCGCGCTTTAAAAAAAAGTTAGCTTAGAATTTAAGTACTCTGTGGTATTTTTTACCCAGTAGCGAGTGCCCCCGGGTTAAGATACCCACGGGACGAAATGGTGTAGTGGTTTCTTTTTCGCCGCCTACATGGCTAATATATTATTTCTGCTCCCGTTCAACAATTGGCTTTCCTCCACAGACTGCCAAATAAGTTGGATATTTGCCATAGTTGCCACGCTTGGCATGCGAGTTGCCAACTGCATATTTTTATTATTTTGAGCCACGATCAGGAGGACGCTGCTGCCCATCTTATGTAGATTTCTACTGCTGTTCATGACTTTAGTTCTTACGCGTTCACCGTGAACAAAACTACTTTTATGTAATTTTGAAGTCTACTCGAACATAAAAAATACTGGCATGTGGTGCTAATCAATATTCAATGGGACCAATATTAATAAAGACCATGAAACTAAACCTTATCTTATCAAAACTATATCAACTTTAATAATACATATTGCATATTATATAAATAACACTTCGAAAGACGTGCCCGATATAATAAAGGTAAGCAACACCTTTACCATATTTATGTGATTACTATACTATTGATATACCAGTTTTGCTAATTTTATTACGAAAGTTATTATCGATGTTTCTAAATTAAAGGCCACGCGAGTGAAGCCGCGGTTAAAAAGCTAGTATAGATATAAGATGAAAGAAAAAATAAACATTTACGTGGTAGAAACATGCTGCAGCTCTATTATGGTCGCATCTCGCGGATGGACCGGCTCGACCAGAAGCGCACACTCGCCGGATATCGGGGTAAATGCTTCCGCGTTTCGTTTCGGCTGGTATAGAGGTAGTCTGGGTAAGTAGAGTGTAGGACGGCCCCCCATTAGATCGAATTATGACCTGGTAAGACGTTGGTGGTAGATGGATGCAGGTGGTTCAGGACCGTGCTTTGTGGTATTACTTATGAGAGGCTTATATTCAGTAGTGGGCTTGTAGTCCTATAATAATGATAAAAATAAACGTTAAGAATCTTCATGATTCTTGTTTAAGCATTGGTAAAGAAAAGAGAATACTCACTAGGGAATAATTTATGCATAGCGAAAAAACAAATACCTACTCTCTAGATGGGCCAATGCCCAGCTGTGGACATTTAGAATGGCTCATAGAAGTGATATTTGCCATAGCTGCCACGCTTGGCAGGCGGGTTGGCAAGCGCAGTTTGTTATTTATATTTGGCTATTATCAAGAAGGTGCTGCTGCCCATCTGGTTCAGTTGCCTACTGTCGCCTTTTACGTCACCTACAAGATGAAGTGGGAGTAGTGTAGAGGAATTATAGGACTGGCCTAGAGGAATTATAGGACTGGCTTAGAGGAATTATAGGACTGGCCGAGAGGAATTATAAGTCTGGCCTAGAAGAATTATAGGACTGGCCTAGAGGAATTATAGGACTGGCTTAGAGGAATTATAGGCCTGGTCGAGAGGAATTATAGGACTGGCCTAGATAAATTATAGGTCTGGTGTAAAGGAATTATAGGTCTGGCCTAAAGGAATTATAGGACTGGCCTAGAGGAATTATAAGTCTGGCCGAGAGGAATTATAGGTCTGGCCTAGAGGAATTATAGGACTGGCCTATAGGAATTATAGGTCTGGCCTAAAAGAATTATAAGCCTGGCCTAGAGTAATTACATAAAGACCATACATACACTTGTTTCGTGCAGGATTCAAATCGAATTTTCGTACACGGAATAATAAAGAAAGAAAAACTTTATTTGAAATCACAAAGAGAAAAAAAACTCGAAATATTACAATAAAAAATAAAATATGTATGTATATAGTGTGGTATATATATAGTATGGTAGTGAAAGTTGGGTGTGGCAGAAGAAGCACGAGAGTAGAATGAACGCATTAGAAATGCGGTCGTTAAGGAGTATGTTAGGGCTGAATCTGAATGACAGAGTGAGAAATTGTGTGATAAGAGAAGAGTGTGGTTTGCAAGATGATGTTGTGACCAGGATTAAGAAAGGAATGCTTCGGTGGTTTGGTCATGTGGAAAGAATGACAAAGAAAATTTATGTTGCAGAAGTGAATGGCAGAGTCGGAAAGGGACGTCCTAGGCGAAAATTTATCGACCAAATTGGCGATTTATTGAAAACGGGCCAAATTAGGAGCACCCTTAACCAACGAGCATGTATGCGTAGGTATATGGATGTGAAGGAGGCGAGAGAGGTGTGTCAGGATCGTGCCAAATGGAAGTCTGTAGTCTCTGCCTACCCCTCTGGGTGACAGGCGTGAGTGTTTATGTATGTATGTATGTAAAGAATAAAATGGATTTTTGTAGAGTCAAATTAGGTCTCTATTGTAGCTAACTGCTGCTGTACTAAATGACAGCAGCGCTGATTTTCGAATAGACCCCAATATTCACTTCACGGACGGTCATACATTACTTAAAGCTAAAGATTAAAAACAATCATTCTGAGAAGTGAGTGGGGAAGGAATCAGTTATAGCATGAACTATCGGAACTTTTTTCCAATACCGGTTTTGTTTCGATATTAAATTTTTTAATACCGATATTCCGGTATTTCGATATTTTTCCGATATTATGGCTAAAAAAAAGAGATCAAATTTGTTTAAATTAAACGTTGTTAGAGTCCAAATTAGAAATAAGACACTAATAAAAAGTAAATCAACGACTTTTATTATTGCAATCTTATATAATAATTAGAATTTAAAAAAGTATGAAACACAAAAATAAACAATTTCTTAACATACTCTGCTATGTCATAAAATTAAAAAATCAACACAAGTTAAAATAAGTAATTGAGTAACATAATATACAGTGTGTAAGTGTAAACACCGTTGTCACTGAAACCATAGGTGGTTGGCTTTAATATAAAAATATTTATCCGATTTAAAAAAAAAAAACGCTATTTTCTTTTATAAAATTAAAAAAAGTTTCTGTCCGACACCGTCCGTAAATTCATGGATATATGCGCTCGAGTGACGTAATCACTGTAAAGATCACCGCCCGCCCTTGCTACTGTAGGTACACAACATTTCAATATAAACACAATGGTACACATAACCTATCATGAAACTTTTCCTTCATACTTTCACACTTGCTTAGGACAGATAATAATTCCTACCCTTTGTGTTGCGTGACGAGTCCAAATGAATGTAAGTTAGATTTAACAAAGAAAATTAAACATTAATAAAAGTAAATAGTAAATCATTAGGTAGGATTTTTGGCGTATTTACCGTATACCGTACCGCGGCCCTGGAATGTAAAGGGCATTTGAAGCATAAGCTGACCGTTCATTGTACGGAAAGATCATACAAAGCGAGGCCAAGACAAAGGATTTGTACAGCTTGATGTGTAGCCTGATTGATGGTTATTTACACTTACCTATTAAATAAAATCCTCGTAAATGAATTCCATTTTGATCAGCTTTTACATTAATCGTAAAAGCTAGAAGCACAACAGTGTCATTTCTCTAAATACACTAAGAATTCGCCTTTTGAGTTCGGACGATTACGGAACTTAGTTGCATACACTCGGCGCTTCACTTCTCCCCAAAGATAAAAGTCCAGCGGGGTAAGGTCGGTTCATCGCCCAGGAAACTCCTCAACCAGCATAGCCCTGATTTGCAGCTGAAAATGTGCAGGGGCACCGTCATGTTGGTAGTAGAGGTTTCTCAGTGAACGAAGAGGCACATTTCCACTGCACGTTTATGTAGGACATAATTACAAATTAAATACACTCGCACCAAAACTACAACCTAAAGCGACGTAGAATGTCGGCACTGCGCGGCGCGGTTTTAAATCAAATTAACACGTACATTCCGTACCGACGCAGCGAAGGTGACTGACACACTGACACAGTGACATTGGCCTTGACCGCGAATCGCTGCCGCTACCAACGATATGTTGAGTTTTTTGTTGTGAATTCTGTAGGTATATCCCTACTTGCCTAGGGTGAAATAATTGTAAGAAAAAATTGAGATTAGAAAAAAAAATGTTGTTATTTTTCATTGAAATTACTTTCTATAAGTGAAACCAAACCACTGGTTTCAAGGACAACGGTGTTTACACTAACACCCTGTATAAGTAAATATTACATTAAACGCAAATAACTGGATATTAAATTGGTGGGGTAACTATATAGTCATCTTACAACATATGGCTTCAAAAACGAAGCCTACGGCAATTCACGAGATCACGATTGCTGAATTATGGAACGTAAGTAGCAGAGGGCATCCAAGGTATTGTTATGATGACACTTTTATAGTCATTATTAAGCTCGTTTGGGTTTGACACCACCGGTATTACTTCAAATCCCCCCGGTTTCGTCCTCAGCACTATCTGCGTCGTTCTCGAATTCGGAGTCACTTTCACTTCCACCAGCAGTAACAGCAGCATCAGGGGATCGCACATTTTCCGCACTTGACTTTGACTTGATGATAAGCGCGCAGGTTTCTTCCAACATTTAACATGACGCTGGCGCCATCTGACTATTGCGACTATATCTCTATCTAAAGAAAGCTCAAATTCTGAAAGCTTTTCTTTCAAAAGTCTGATACACGTCACAGATGGCATTGAACCATCCATTCGCACCAAACCCAGATTTTTGAAACGTGAGCCATCTGTGAACTCAACTTCTATGTGATTGTTGATATTCATATATCTGGCGTTACGAGATGATGTCCACACATAAAAACTCAAAGAAAACTTTTTACCAAGGGCTAATAGATTTTTCAGTTCAGTCACCAGTTTTTTCTTTTCCTGTTTACTATAGTTTATGACTATATTTTTTATACCATTTGGAGTCTTCGGTAATTTATTGTAGCCAGAATTTGTAAACAGTCTTCGCAGATCCTCAGAAGTACAAAATACACTGAATGGTATTCCGTCCAAAGCTGCCATTCTACTGACGGTTGTTTCAAGGGAGTGATTACTTTGAAAATAATCAGTCAATTTCCTTTTTTTACCATCGATGAGGACGCTGAACAAGATTCGCCTTTTGATTTTGACACAGCGGTCGTAATGGTTGGAGAAGCAGATGTAGATGGTCGGTTTATGCTACTGTCATTAGTTTCTTCATTGTCAGACTTTGAATTAACGTTACTAACGTCTATTGTATGCGACGATTTTAAATGAACGCGAATACCAGTGGTTGTGCCGCCGTGAGATCGTATTATTTTTTGGCATAAATTGCATTTGCCTGACTGACCATCTTCTGCTCGGAGAAAGTAGTGCCAAACCGAGGTTTTATCATCACTTTTTTCGAATTTTTCATACTTCATATTTTTACAAGTAAATTTGTTTGTTCAAGGAAGCTGAAAGCCTGTAACAAAACAATTTTGACTAAATAACTTTGACCAACTAAAGTTCAGATTTTGTACATTTGCGAACTTATTTTAAAATTGAAGCCTATAATAGTACATTGTAATACAAGGGGCTAAAATGACCCATTATAGACGAGGTAGTTTTACTACCGAGCTTTAGCGAGGTAGTAAATAGGAACCGAGTTAAATTCCTTTTTTTCCCAAGGGCATAATATGCAATTTTACGCCCGCTCTGGTACGCTATTATGACGGTCTTTTCGAGCAAGAAGAGTGAAAAAAATATTATTACATATAAATTTATCTTTGAGATAATCTAACGGTTCAAATCAAAAGTAATAATAAAAGAATACAATAACATTTTAATCAAAGTAGCCCGTTAAAATGTAATAAAAATCATAAATGTAATGCTCGTCGTATTTGTGTGTACACTTACCCACTTTGTTTGTCCGACGAGTGAATGAAGTAAAACAACGACGTCACAAAAACAACACAACTTTGGCAATGCACACGTGTGTGCTTTTTAACATAAAAATATGAACTGCGCTGAATGAGTGACACCGAGCGTCGAGCGCAACTATCTGGTCGAACCGGGTGCTGTGATTGGTCGAGCGAGGTGGAGCGAGCTACCCGACCCCCGAGCCACCCGCGCCCCGCCGCCCTCCGGCGACCAAAGTGTTGTATATGTTACCGTAAAATTGTCAAACACGTTATATTACAATATAACGTATTTGACAATTTTACGTTGACAATGACATATACACACTTTTATTCGGAAATAATCATTTAAAAATGACATATTTGTAAGCCTGCTACTGGCATAACATAGCACGCGGTTTTTATCAATTAAAAGATCTGTATTTCTGTACCTGTGTTAAGAAATAAAAGTGATTTGATTGGATTTGATTTTGTCACTGCAACATACATAATTATTATTACCCGTTAGGTATGTTTTACATTAATTCAAATTAATTAAATAAGTAAAAAAGATTCTATTGCCTCCGGTTTTTTTAATACAAAATATCGAAAAACCGATATCAGTGAAATCCAATATCGGTTTTTCAATATCGGATTTTTTGGGTCCGATAATCCGGTTTTTCGATATTATCGAAAACCGGTATCCATGCTCTAGAAACAGTATAAAAGAGGTATTATTTGGAACTAATAACACAATGTATAAGTGAACTGTATATATGCATCATACACAATTAAATGTACATACATATACATTATAAAGTGCTCAACATATAAAATATTATCTAATCTTAATAAACTAAAAAACTGAATTTAATTGTAAAGACTTTACGATTTAACAACCATAAACAAAAAGAAACGAGAGTGAGTAAACTGAAAATTAGTGAGAAGAAATAAAAAAAACAGTAAGTCTTATCCAGCAATTTTTCCAACATTAATTAGAGGACCTTTATAGTGTGCATGTAAAACAAAAAAAAAATAGGAAAAAAAAAATAATTTTAAAATTACGAGGGATTGTGGTCTTGTTTTAAAATTGCTGATAGTTTTTTTTTTAAATGTTCCTATAGGTTTTAAAGCACGCATTGGTGGAGGCAGATCGTTCCAGCAGCGAGAAGCTGCATACCTGAATGACTAAATGCCATTGTTCTATGTTTTGGAATAACAAAGACATTAGAACATTTACATTTCGGATGTTTTGACTGTTTGGTTTTTTTGTTTCATTGTAACTGTAACAAGAAACACATATATGACGGAGACGTAGGAGTATCCATCACCGCATTCGTCCCGTTGGTGTCGTAAGTAGGAGGTGACTATGGGAAATGCCAGATAAATTTTATGGCTCTCGATAGATCGAATATAGTAGAATATTTTTGTATTCAATATAGATTGAAAGTAATTCTTTTAACCTTTTGAGCGCCAAAGTCGCCTATACTTAACCAGCACCTGTGGGCCCTGAGCGCCAACGACGTCTATAGTTGACAAAAAAACCGGCCCACAAAAATATGAAATATAGATATTAGAAAATTATTACTGGTATTTTAATTCTACACTCCTCAAAAAAAGAATAACTCAGCAACAGGTGAGTTTAAAAAAAAGTCTCCTGGAACCACAAGTTCTAAGAAACATTGAACTAAAAAAAATGGATTTTTATCTAAGCAAATACTATGTCCAGCACGCCAAGGTCGTCTATGTTTGTTGTAATGCATTAGGCATAGATTTATTGAAAACTGTTTAAAATTAAACGCAAACGTGTTGTTTTTTAAATTATTATTGATATTTGAATAAAAAAAAGGTAAGAAACATAAAACTATCATCAGCTATATAAATGAAAATTTCATCAAATCAACTTCGCATAATAAATCCAATTTCTCAACTCTGGCGCATCCTTAGCGCGTCATCGATTATCAGTTCCATAGAGTAGAGTAATATATACAGAAATCAGTCATTCAAATCAGTTCATTGGGCGACGTGGTCAAGGATAGACGACACCCTGATGACGTCATAGACGATTAGCGGAAAAAGTAGTGCAACATTAACGTTTCCTTAAAACTCATTCGCATTTTGGAAAGCGGAGATGATGATGAATTTTTTTATTTTAATAATATAAAATTACAAATAATAAAAGTTTATTTTTTTCTTAAGGTATGAAGAGCAATTTTTCATTTAGTTTTGTGCGATTTTCTTCCTCAATCTCAAAATCATCTGGTAGCATCAGCATCATATCAAACCCCCATTATTATAAGAGCGTAAGACTTCTTCTGTGCATCACTTCACCTCCCCCCGACACATATACTATTTTGAGTCGATCTCTGTATATTTTCGTTAGTTCGATTTCGAAATCGATACAACCCGTGCGACAGGGCTACATCTCTAAGAAAGTTTCAAAAAGAAAGGTCAGCTACGCCGTTGTCGTCCAGTCGTGACAGTGACGTTATCACGATGGAGACTAGTGCTGTGGTTTACTACTATTTTATTGTTTGTTTTTTATTTATGTACAAATTACAGAGTGGAAGACAGTACAAGATTAAATAAAACGTACCAGATTGTAGTCATTTATTGCATAAAAAACCAAAAACTCAAGTTATTTTGTGTTATCGATATATCAATTTTTGGCAACACTATTTTTTTCGTAGGTATTTTTATTTACTTTTCGCTTTGGCATACAGGACACGGTAATGCGTTTTTGGCGTGGCGCTCAAAAGGTTAACATTATTTACTTTTATGACTGGTTCGGAAAAAGAACTTCTGTCCTGGGAAGATCCAGCCAGAAACCTAGCGGGACTTTTTTCACAAACAATAAGAAAACACTAGTTTTACAAACTACTAACAAGACTTATTTAAAAAACAGTTAAGAAGCGACCACTTCATTACCATGGGTTATTACTTATTATCCACCATGTATTCATTTATATTATAGTAACCCTTTTTATACAGGTTTTGTTTAATAAAACAATTATGTAAACTTGGTAAAATAGAGATTTAGTATATTTTCATTGCCCACATGAATGAATTTCTGAACATGTGGAGAAACTTTTTTTTTGTAGAATAAGGGTGACAAACGAGCAGGTGCCTAGCGCGGTTTGGTACCCCCAGGCAAGAGTAAAGATTAAGGCAGAGGTTGGTACGATCCTATACTACTTCGGTAAGGTCCACGTTCAGCAGGGGATTATTACAGGCTAATGGAAATGTGGCACATAAAAACTAATCAAAGGAAGATGACATATTCAAATAAAATATATTTTAAGTGTATAGTGATTTTATTTCAACTCATTCATAACATTAAAACAACACTATCTACTCACATAACATACACAAGTTATAACAATAAGTTAAAGTAAACATTTGCTACGTTCAATCCAAAATTTTAAATAGATTCATTTCATTTCCGACGCTTCCTCCCATTTGCTGTAAACAAAAAATAAATATTCATACATTACTTGTTTGATTAGACGTTTGTAGAAGCTTACTATTGTAAACCGGGTTCACGAATGGAGAAGCAGCTTATTGTGAGTTAACCTGCATGTCTAAGAACTTCAAAAATATTTCGAAGACATGCGCGATTCTCCAACACGCATTGTGGCAGCGGATTGTTCCTTGCACTTAAACCTTCTCAGAAATTAGAGGAGACCTGTGCCCAGCAGTGTGACTTATATAAGATGTAACTTTAACTTAAACCCGCAAGTGTGATGAATACTTGAATAATATTATTATTTATTAAGGGGGCGTCCATAAATTACGTGAGATGTTTTTTTTTAAATTTTCTGTACCTCCCCCCCCTGGTGATATGTCGTGAGATTTTATTCAACCCCCTCCCCATCCCCCAATCTCACGTGAGATTTTTCAAAATGTGGGTTTCTTACGTAAAAATGCGTTGGATTGTTATTGTAAAAAGAAAAAAAATTGCTTCGTGCTTTTATTTACGACTATAGTCCGTTCGCGTTAAGAAAATAGTGAGTGAGAGTAATCAGTGCAACTACAAGGTTTAGTTTAGGGTAAACATTTAATAAAGTTTAATGGAAACAAATTTTCTTAAAATTACTTAAATCACTAATCAGTATCGCTAGATTCTCAAACACACCACATGCACTTGCTGTTTTTATTACGGTGCTCTCACAGTCGTATTTAAATCACAGTTTAAAGTAGGTACTTATAAACATTGTAAATTACGCGTTTCTCTCCGCTATGGATTATTGATCCACTTTTATTCTTTCGAATAGGTGCGGTATTCATTTTCAAAATTTAATGTTGAACGAGTAACACGCAAAATACACAACCGTTTTGTTCGAAGGCCTGACTTCAACTGATCACTGTGAACTCGACTTTCTTATTTCTTGCATTTTAATTGGCTGGGGGGCGTGGCCAGGCCGGCGGACAACGATGACTCACTATTTTCTTAACGCGAACGGACTATAGTTAAGACTAGTAATCAATATTGCTGAGAGTTATAAGTGTAATAAAAAATTAACAATAGAATAATTAAATCGTAATTACTGTGATTAAAGAAAAGAATATCTAATCTAATTCAGTCCATGGAGAATCATGCGCGGTCTCAACAGAAACTATTGGAACCAACATGTGCATATGATTTTCAGTAAAATCATGTGCTCCTTCAACTTCGTTCTGATCTAGCCACTCTAAGCCGTTGGCGCTTGCGCACAGTAACGCATTAGCTCGTCTTGTGACAATCCGTGAGGGTCGCACTTTGCGGAACAGCGTTATAAAAATCTTGATAACTCATTTTAAATTAGTAAGAGCATGCACTGAGTCGAGCAAAACATTTACTAGAATAAACAAAGCAGGTTGGAACCTGTCCGTGTGTCGCTGCCACTCAGCTCGTACGCTGTCGTTTATCGAGTCGCGCGTTCGGCTGACAGTGGCGCGAAAACAAAGAACGGGCTACACTGAACCGTAAATTCAGATTAAATTGAGCTATTTGGTATAAAACAAATATGGTGGTTTGACAGTCAGTAGATGTATAACGTCGAAGTATGAATGAAATTATTTTCATTCGAACAAATTAGTGAATGATCTTAATCGTATTACGATATACGCTTAAGATTAAATCTTAAGGAAGAAAGTTCTCGAGTGGCAGCCTCGTACCGGTAGGCGTAGTGTAGGGCGACCCCCCACTAGATGGAGTGACGACCTGGTAGGACATGCAGGAAGTCGATGGATGCAGGTGGCTCAGGACCGTGCTTTGTGGTATTACTTGGGGGAGACCTATGTTCAGCAGTGGACTGGTGAAATGGACCAAAATAGTATATTTTAAAATTGTTTCAATCAGAAAAAAAAAATTGTGTGATATTTGCCGAGACTCCCCCCTCTCTCCGAAGTAATATTAGATGAGATTTGACTCTACCCCCTCTCCCCCTTAAACAAATCACGTAATTAATGGACGCCGCTTAAAATACACTAAAAATATCTCACAGTTTCGTCAACATAATGCCTTATCCTTTTTTGCCAACGTTTAAGAAGCGACACCGTCCATTCTCAAAGTTCACTAGCGACCTAGTTTTTGGAGACATGATAGAGGAATAAAGGAGAGAGAGGTAGGTCGTAATTATTGTACCTTGCAAGCAAAATAGAGATTTTTAAAAGGATATTCAGTAAGCAGCCATTTTACTTGCCTACTTCATATATAATTTCTGCATCTATTGTGATTTGCCGACTCGGTTAGTTCAACTTTGACCGCAAGATCAATCTACGGATCCAACTCGACTTCACTCAACAGCGTTTGGTAGATAACAATACATTTTTTTGTCACGCATGCAGCGCACGCAACCAGTGATGACATATGGATATAAAAGGTTGTCCTTCACTGTTGGCCGTATGAAAAAACTTAAGGACCCTATACATTTTTTTGTCACGCATGCAGCGCACGCAACCAGTGATGACATATGGATATAAAAGGTTGTCCTTCACTGTTGGCCGTATGAAAAAACTTAAGGACCCTCAGCAAGATATTTAGAGGGTTATTAGAATTCACAATGAAAACTTCAGCAATAGAACCAGAGTAATCAATAAAACCCAAGGGGCAGCCATATTTTTTTATAGATTAAGGGCGACAAGTGAGCGCTCAGTCCACCCGATGGTAAGTGGATGCTGTGGCCCATAGACATCTTTATCCATGAATCAAAATGCAGATGCGTTGTCACCCTTAAGGACTAAGATGGAATGCCTCGTATCAAATAAAAAGTCTCCGGTTTTCTACACTCACCATACGAAACAAAGTAGTGTAAGCTGGTATTCTGAGAGAATGTGGTCCTTTTCCGGTTGAGCCGACCCATTCGTGCTACAAGCATAATATAGCTGCAGCATGGCTTTACCACGTAAAAATACAGGGTTATTTTGCAGTTGAAGGTTCAAAATAAGTAATATCGGCAAATGGTGAAGAAAAATTAATTAAAAAAATCTCAATCTTTCCTTTAGTTTTTTTAAATCCGAAATGCGTGATAATCCATTATTTTAACTGATTTTACCTCGCACGCACACATTTGTAAAACCTTACGCTCAGTAAAGTACCTTGACGCGCATCTCTTCGCGCCCTTCTACCGTTACACAGTAAGTACCTATATCTGCTCGCCCGACTGACAGCTGACAGCCTCCTACGCGGGCCCCGTCTTTGCCCACGCAAACCCTAACATTTTAAATGAACTCCAAATAGTTCAGAACCTATTCTGTCGTCGAGCTGCGAACGCACCGTGGTACGTCCGCAATGCCGACCTTCATCGGGACTTAGAGCTCCCAACAATTCAGCAATTTCTTAAAAAACTCTCTGAGAACTTCTTCAAAGCCTCAGAGTCGCACCCAAACCACTTAATTCGTGAGGCAGCTTCTTATGCAGCCCCACCCCCCCTCTCGCTATCGTGTCCGCAGGCCGAGAAACTCTCTCTCGGACCCGCCTAATAAACTCTCAAACGACCTGGCAGCTCAGGCCAACTCTAATTAAATAAAATTATTGTAATATCTGACATTAATTTGCCTTCGTAGGCACTCCCTCAGCGGCACTTAGCCGCCTGCGCCCTCTTTTCCCAAAAGAGGGTCGCTCATGATAAGGCACAATAGAGCTTAATCAGCCGGTTGCCTGTCCCTAAAGGCGGTTTTTAGGGGGTATCACTTAGGGTCCCCGGTAGGACAGTGAGTCCCCCATAACCACGATAGACCGGCTATCGTGGTATGCGTAATGCATTTTCCGCCTCCCTACGTACAGGGTAGCCCTTTAATTGCTTCGGGCGCAAAAAAAAAAAAAAAAAAAACAGCTGACAGTGTTGACCGTGATTGGTCACGTTACGCTCTGCTACTACTGAAGGCTCAGGCATCTGAAAAGCCGTATCGCAATTAGTTGCGGATGCTAAGGAAGAATACGAGCGTAATCAACCCGTTTTGTATAATATGTATCCATCTAACATTAACATTTTATAAATTGTTTGGTATGTTTTAATAAAAATAAAAAGTGTTGAATACGCCTATATTCATACGCATAACTACTTATTTTCTTGCTTACCCAATTTGTATTCGATTGTATTATTATTGTTATATATCGGCACCATAAATTAACCACGCATCCGTCTTGTAAAAATTAGTGTTCTCGCAAAATTTACAGGAAATCGAATATTTTTATAGTATTTAAAAAAAAGAAAAAGTGAAACATATTTTACATTTATTTAAAGTGTAGGATTTGAAATTTTCGCAACTGTTTTTTAATTTTATTTTTTGTGTTAAAATTAATAGCTATATTAGGCGTTAAACATGCCTATGTTTAGGTTATATGCGTAGACGGACTCTGCTATGTACCTACAAACTATAACAATATCAAGAAAAGTATTTAGATCACATTTATTTACACATTGTCTACCATAATCTAATCTAGTCACTTTTTTAGAAATGCTTAATTTTCTTATTTGAAGGGCTTAAATAGTTGTAATTTCATGATTTTTTTTACATCAAATATCTATTTTTTCCTACTAGAGGTATAAATGTAGCAAAGTCGTACTAAAAACCACATAAAATAGAAGTATTTTCTGAGAATTAGAAATAAAATTAAAAAAATATATTTTCGTACTTTTTACCTATATGCCATTTACAAACCAGGAACGCATGAAAATTCTCTCATTTCTGCTGGGATTTCTCTTTCGGCTTTCAGACGTGTACAGTGTTGCTCCACGTTACTTAACCTCGCGGGTTTTCTCTTTTCGCGCAGCTCTTATTGGGCTTATTAATTATTTTTATTTAATTGTCATATTAGTTCTAGTTTTCAATGTATTAGTGTTTATATTAGTATTAGTGTATTAGATTAATTGACTTGGACTTTTATATTTGTTGAATTTCAATTTATTACCCACAAAAAATAAACGGAAAAACATGGATAAAAAAAAGAAGAAATATCAAGGATATTTCTTCTTCAGTCTTCAGTTCTTGTCAGTAAAAATAAATGTAACGCAAAAGTTGAAGTCATGAGTAAAGAGCCACTGCTGAACATAGGCCTCCCCCAAGGTATGCCACAAAGCACGGTCCTGAGCCACCTGCATCCATCGACTTCCTGCATGTCTTACCAGGTCGTCACTCCATCTATTGGGGGGTCGCCCTACACTTCGTCTACCTGTATGAGGCTGCCACTCGAGAACCTTTTTTCCCCAACGGTTGTCGGTTCTTCGAGCTATATGGCCGGCCCATTGCCACTTCAGCTTACTAATCCGTTGGGCTAAGTCGGTCACTCTGGTTCTATTGCGGATATCCTCATTTCTAAATTTATCACGCTGAGAAACTCCGAGCATAGCCCTCTCCATAGCTCGCTGAGCGACTTTGAGCGTTCATACGGCCAGCAGTGAAGGACCACGTCTCAGTTCCATATGTCATCACTGGCTACACGCACTGGTTGTACAACTTAGTTTTCAGGTTTTGAGGTATACCTGATGAGAATATGTGTCGTAATTTCCCGAACGCTGCCCAGCCGAGTTGAATCCGTCGATTGACCTCTCGGTCGAAGTTGGACTTACCTAGTCGGACTCGCCATTGATGTTAATACCGTATCATTTCCAGTCCAGTAGCTTGAAAGCGTCTTCCAATGCAGCGGTGAAGAGTTTCAGGGAAATAACGTTACCCTGTCTTAAACCTCTCTGACTTAAACTTGGCACCGTTGAAGAGACTGTAGCACCGCCCAAATTTCGACGGAATCAAAGTCTTGCTCATAGTCCACACACGCCAGGCAAAGTGGCAGATTGTTCTCTTCGGATTTCTGTACAATTTGCCGAAGGGTATGTATGTGGTCTATGGTACTAAATCCTTTTCGGAAACCGGCTTGTTCGGGAGGCTGGAAGTCGTCGAGTCTTCGTGTGAGACGATTCGTGGTCTCTGCGTGCACGTAATGACTCGAAAACAGCACGTAGACGCGGCTCAGAAGGGATATCGGTCTGTAGTTCTTCAAGAGGGCGTTGTCACCTTTCTTGAAGGACAAGATCTGCACACGCTGTGCAAATTTGATTAAAATCTGTTTAGTAGTTTGGGAGTCCATCGCGGACAAACAACGTGACACGTAATTTATATATATTAGGAAGATATATTTTTATGTCAGTAGTTATAGTTCATCAGTCTTTGTTTGCTTTTGTACAGCATTGTCTTGGCCTTGTACTGTAAATGATGACTCACGCTACACCGTGTCGGGTCCGAGCCGAGTGTCGACTGTAGCACGGTCAACTAATGTCAGGGTGCTTACATAAAGAAACAGGTTTCCGGTACAGACAAATTTGTGGTGGTCGGTACTGATCGGTGCAGGGTTAACCTGCATAAAGAAACAGGTAAATCTGTCCGTACTGCCAATAATGGCCTCCAGTTCGTCGGACGACGATTTTTTACTTCTGGAAAGTGTTTATTGTAAATGTAGAAAGGAAAGAACAGTTAGTGTCTCTAATATAAACAGGAAAAGAAAAAAATATGGGTCGTATTATCATTTATTTATAAGACATAAAGTTTGATGAACACAAGTTTTATGATTATACCAGGATGGCACGAAAAACATTTAACTATATATTGAATTAATAGAAAATCGCTTAATTAAGAGATGGTGTAACCCATTTCACCTGAAGAAAGGCTGCTAGTCACCGATGGTAAGTAATAATAAATCTTAAGCCAATGTAATATTACTTATTAGTTTTAATCAGGAAATAATAATCAAATTGGAGATTTTACAGTTGGTATCTGCTAAAAAATTCTGCAACAGATTGGTCATTCTGCACAGACTGTGTAGGTTCATTATATTCCTCTGTAGCTACTCGGATACTTATATTAACATCAGCAATATTGTCTCTCGATGTTTGTGTAACAATTATTTGGTCGTTGGTTTCTGGAGTACTATGACGGGAAACATTACTTAAATGAGAGTAGTTTGTCATCGAGCTAGATGGATTATCATAATGGAAAGATCGGTACGCAAACTCGCCGAAGACACTTTGAATGCGGTTTCTAAAACTAAGTAGCACATTCTGAGGTATTTTGTCTATGTGTGGTAACAAATTTTAAAAAATAAGATACGTTCATTGTCTGCATCTGTTCGATTCTGCCGAGATTTTTCCTTTTCTTATAAAAATATGAGCTTTTGATGTTCAATGTCCAAAATTTTGTCATTGAGTGACTTTTTAGGCCTTTTTGAAGCGGTTTGAAAAGTCGACATCGCAGGAGACACTGTTTGTTAGTCGCTCTCATCACCATCCTCCGTGTTCGCTGGTGATGGTAAAGGAGAAAAATGATTGTCGTTCGTACTTTGGAACATAATCACTTGTACAATACCTAATTATTATCAAAAACTAATTATGCAAATAAATCGATTTTTATTATAGGTACTTACCATCTTGTTTCATTTCCAAGCTTATCTCTTTCTAACACTTATCGGTAATATTTCTGTTGCTATGGAACTTATTTCTTTTGTCCCATAAAGATTGTTTATCAAATACCAAGGCTATCATAACTTCGTTATCCACATCCATTTTCATAAACCTTTGAGTATCATAAACATACACACCCTACACTGGCAAACGCTTAAACCCCTATGGCTCGGCACGAGATAGAGAAGACAAGTTTAAACCTGTTTTTTTATAAGTGATCCCATATAACATAGGAATATTATATCTGCGTCGATCCGTACAGACCAGCACATATTTGTCTGTACCGGAAACCTGTTTCTTTATGTAAGCACCCTTACATATATTCTGTATGGACACACTAACGCTATACCGAGCGGAAATCGAGTGACGGCCGAGCAACGGACAACGCTCGGCAACAACTCGGTCCCGGCTTGTAGTTGAAGTTTTGTCAGATTCTTCATCGTCCAGAGCGAGCGCAATAGCCGCTAATTCCAGATCGTCAAACTTCAACATGATTGTGGTCTAGTTATCACTATTTTTGCTCGGACGAGTATACTGCATCACGGCGCTCGGTCGAGGCCCGTGTTTGTAATTTTAGGCAAAGGACCGGCTCGGTGACCGTGCTACGGCCGACACTCTGCTCGGACCCGCCTCGGTCTAGCGTGAGTCAACCTTTATGGTGCTGTTACTGTTTTTGTAATAAATAAATAATTTTCAAACAATGTAATATCGGTATATAATAATTTATTTATTCGAAATTCAACGTAAAATTTGGCTACTCTTTAGAAAATAAACCTGTATAGCTAGATCAACCGAAATCCGATGGGATGGAAAGGTTCTTGAGTAGCGGTCTCGTACCGGCAAACGTACTATATGATCGTTAGTCGATGGATAGGAACCGTGTTTTGTGGATTCCTTGGGGGTCTTGAAGAGGCTGTAATGATGACGGATATGGGCTTCTTCCGTGGTAAGGAGGATTTGTCTTAATAGCGAAGCGTGGCAGGCGGATTGCCAACTGCAACGTTAAAACTATAACGTAATGTTACGAGCTTGAGGTTCGTGACAATAAAAATTGCCGATAAAATTACCTAAATTAACACTTTAATTTACTTTACACAAATTAAAGTTAAAACACTAATAATTAAACACACTAATTCACTTAATTCCGCCCGAAACTTCGCTTGTTTCGCCCAAATCAACACTGCCTCGATCGCACCTTGCAGCGCCTACTTATTTAAATTAGCAAATATCCAGAATGTTCAAGCAAACACGCGTAAGGTACCGAGAGTCCGAGTATAGATTTTCTAGAAACTTAGTTTCTTCGGATGGCGCTGTCGGTTGTGATGTCATTCACTGCAAAGCTCCCCTCGCTCTCGTTCCTGACACTAGATGGCGCTAGTGTATCGTCGACTTTAGCGCGTAACAGTAATAACATTATAATCAAATATTTACCAATGCCGTTCCGTTGATTGTGTCCTGCTGTGCAGCCTGCAGTTCCAATATCTCATTCTGTATGGAAACGCTCAGTTCTTGTATAGGGACGGTTTCGGTGCGCCAGAATACGTTTTGATGCTTACTGGTTCGATTCCTTCGCTTGTGCGCTTTCAAGTGCACCTGGAAGATATGTGGCCACATTTTAAAAAATTTGGTAGTATAGTCAGAAATTCCTAAGACTAGAAAGGTAAACATAAAACGAACTAGTAAAATGAGATACCACATTTTTATTAAGTCACTTTCTTGTTTGTCTGTCTGTCGAAAACTTTCCTATTAGCTAGAAACATGAAATTTTGAACATAGCTCAGAATCGGATGACAATGTAGAAACATGAAAAAACGTGGTATGTTAGATTATTTACAGTACACAATTTAAAAAAAAATAACTTGTTCAGTGCACAAGCGCTAGCTATGTCGTCACTTTCGTAGGTAACGTTCATCATTACGTAATTAGAAATGGGTCAAATACATTGTTTTGTGAAGCCACAGAATATATAATAGTACAAGGTACAGAAGGATTTATTTGGGTTTGTATTGCTTGATAGATACACCTATGTAGGTAGGACGACTAAAGCTTTGGTCTCTTGATATAACACACTCACATAACGCACAACGCTGCGGTATGCGGGTCAAACGCAGCGTCACGACGCAGCGTTTAGTATCTGTGAAGTGGTTAGTTGATTTTGTCGCAGCTACCAAAGCAGACGTGTCAACAATAATTCTGAAATTTGTGTTAGAAGCGGGAAGAAAGCAGTTTGTCTTTATTTTCATATAAAGAGGGATAATTGCGGATTAATTATATTAAATTATCTACAAACAAGTCTATTGTCAACCCGTGACGCACAGCGCAGCGTCGCAACGAGAACGACGCCGCGCAGTTCGGAGTACCCGCTCCCCGCTTCACCGCGCTTGCCCTTCACCGCTGACGCATACTGCGGCGGAACAAGAGACCATTCTACACGTTTTTCATACGATTATGTGTCCGACACCGCATGCCGCATACCGCAGCGTTTTGCGTTACGATCAAGATATCAAAGCTTAAGGAATGTCATAATTAGTTGTTTATTATAACAGACCTTGCGACAAACCACCCTTTTTTATTTTTATATTTCGTGACATCCTTCTTTTTAGTCGGGGGTTTTTGAAAATTTTTGTTAAATCCTTTATCCATTACAACTTTTATATCCGTCGCGAATGTTTAATTTTGATTTATATTATAGACTTTTAATGAATTCCTGCGTTACTGCCTAAATATCTATCTATCTATCTCTCTTTCTACTCAACAATTTCCGAGAGGGAGAACTGAGCATGGATCAGTATTAGCTACTTCTGGAGAGGACTAGAGGGAAACTTTGCAGATGGGTAAGTTGTTTGGATATATCCTATACAAATGCGAAAATACCTATGCTATAATAGCCTACAAATTTTCAATAACAATCCTAGAAGTTAACTGCAGGCAGAAATATACCTTTTGAACGCGTACCGGGAGTTGAGGATGTTTTGCCTGCCGCGTGACATTAATATGGATTACGTCATAAAGCGAAAGCGCGAGGGTTGTACAAAGATGTAAAAAATAAATAAAAAACTAGAAATAATGAAACAATTATTTTATTTGTTTGATAATTAAGAATATTTGAGTCTTATAAAATGATAAATAGCTTTATTTCCTTCTCGGAATTCTCTCGGCAGTGATTCCAAGTTGCGCGTGGTTAGTTGCTTTTGATTTTTGGTAAGTTTGTATTGTATTAAGTTACTTCACACATATACACTAAATTTAATTTAGTATTGTTTACTTTTCTTATATTTTCTCCCCAATTTGGGGAGAATTAAATTTTAATGTTTAGTTTAGTTTTAGTTGCAGATTGAATTGGCGTGTTTCCTGTAAGTTGAAAATATTATTTTCTATCTGGTAAAATAAAAAATAATATATCAACACTTCAAAAGATATTTTCGTTCATTGTAATAACATATAAGTATTAAGACAATTGTTAAATCGTATAGCAAATAAAGGGGAATGCCCATTTTCGGCCATGGAACGCCCAACAATTTGCATTTGTTAAAAAATATATCTTTATTTATGGTTATTAATCGCGGTATTCATTTATCCTAAAAATATGGGAATATTTTTGCACAAAAAAAAAGTAATGAAATGATAAAAATAAAATTAGATAAATGCCTAATTCATTAGTTTGTGAATAAAATAAAAAATGTTGCCAGTCACAAATCTCATTAAGAAATCGATTCCCTTTTTTCAATCGATTATTTATGGTGTCATTATTACAATGCTAATATAACTTTTCGATAATTATTATGTTATGATATAGGTGTAAAGCAACCGTTGACAACGGATATTTAACTAAAGCAGCCGATACGCAACCGTAGTCAACCAGTTGTTTATCCGACTACAGACGAAAAGGAATGGTTGTTTTCACTGTGTGCTTTTTGTAATGGTGCTGAAAATCTACTTGACCGTTTTAAAAAAATTCTTTCACCATTAGAATTCTGTTATGACTGTGAAATGTAGGATGCATTTTATGATGGAGGACGCTACTTTCAACGAATATATTTATTTAGCTCAACTCGTAAAGTACTTTCACCCCTAGGATGTTATGTATAATTATATATATATATATATAATGTAGGATGCAATTTATTATAGAGGGCGCTACTTTCTATGAATATGTTTTTATTGGCTAATCTTGAAAAATACTTGACCGATTTTGAAAATTCTTTCACCATTGCTAATGAGGGCGTTAGTTGTGTAATAAAATTATATTATTAAAATATATATTTATGATATTAATACTTTTTAAATAAATAAAAGTAAATATCTACCTAAGATGATCAAATCCTATTATTATTTTTACAATTTAATAATCGTATTTACACACTTTTCCTACTCAAGTTGATTGTTTTAGATATCGGTAATAAATCTAAAATAAAAGAGTTCCACTTAAATGAAAAAATAATTAATAAAATATAACTAAAAGTTGAAAAAAGTGACCCAATGTGAATCGGACTCGCAAGGTTATGAAGAGTTCCGTAGTAACAAGCATAGACATCGAGTCTAGCGTTTGTATAAAGGACAAAATAACCGTTGTTGCGCGTTGCTTGGTTGAAATCGTTGACAACCGCCTTCAAATCTGTTGTTATGATAATTAAATAAGCGATTTACTAGCTGATTTGCAATGAATTCTTTACGATATAACAAAACGCTACTGCACAATTTAACTGTTATTCTTATATGTTCTTAACAATACATTTAAAATGGAATCATGTTATGATAGTTAAACAAGTGAATTTCTAGCTGATTTACCATGAATTTTTTAGAGCTTAACAAAACGCTTTAAACGCTTTTTTAACTGTTCCTAAAAATACACCTAAAATAGAAATTAAATAAATAAAGGAAAATAAATTTTAAAAAGCGAGCAGAACTTAAAGCACCTCCAAGATTATTGTCTTTTTATGAAGTTATTAATCGAGTAAAACTCGAATCAATATAGATATTATGATGTAATGATAATTAAACAAGCGAACTACTAGCTGATTTTCCATGAATTATTTAGAGTATAACAAAACGCAACTGCACAATTTAACTGTTATTGTTATCTATTTTAACAACACATTTAAAATGGAATCATTATATAATAATTAAACAAGTGAATTTCTAGCTGATTTACCATGAATTGTTTAGAGCATAACAATACGCTACTCCACATTTTAACTGTTCTTAAAAATACATTTAAAAAAGAATTTAAATAAATAAAGGAAAATATATTTTAAAAAGCGTGTAGAACTTAAAGCGCCTCAAAGATTTTTCTTTTATTATTGAATTATTAATCGAATAAAAATCGATATCGTTTCATCGTATTTATGTTAGTTATCTGGCAACATCAAATCTGACAGCTAGGAAATCTGTCATGCGAATGAAATCACAATTCAACGGGTGCGTTTGGCAGAAAAAAGCGCTAGCAAGCGCTTACAAGCGCTGAATGTTTGAAAACTGTTTTCGGCCAGGACACGATTGCTACTTCAGTAGCGCTGACACAATCCGCCATTTTGCTTATTTAATTTGTTTGTTTTGAAGTAAAGTTTAAAGTTTTTTTTTGTGCAATGTTAGTAATAAATGCATGAATAGAATATGATGTTTTAAAAATTCATGATTGGTAAGTTTTTAATATGAATACTTTACAAACATATATTTAAATTATGTTAGGTTCCCCGGTTAAAACTAACATCGTGTCCTGGAGGAAAATAGCTACTTACGATTTGACAGCGCTTACCCTTACGATCGCCATTTTGCTTACAAGCGCTTGCTAGCGCTTTTTTCTGCCAAACGCCCAAAAGTAAATACTACAGAATTCACAACTAAATAGTCGCAATTGTGTTATTTTGTTCGCTTTTGTTTTCAAATAAATTCTCAAGAACTCATATGGAATGAGATTGCCGAACAGGTTGTACCACTTGAGGTAAGTGTTCAACAGTTTTTAATTTATTAAGTCTAGTGCCGATATCTGATAGTGATACATATTTTTACTCTGATTGCATATCAACTCAAGAGGTTGTTTTATTTTTTTTAACATATGCACAAACTATATCTGACAAACATAATAGCTTATTATAACATGGCGATAAGATTAGCCAGCCAACATCAGATAGTTACGAAATTGACTATTTTTATCAACTACCAAGAAATGAGACATTCGTTTTTTAATTGTTTTTGGCCTACTAGTAGTCAGTCAGTCCTTAATTATTAAATAATATAGGGCATTAAGTTTTAAGTAACATTTACCTATATTTGAGTTTAAAGTAAAGAAATCTATTTTATTTTGTTCACTTCGTCTTAATTTTTTTTATTTAATATTATTTCAGTTGCCATCGTCATCGTGTGTGTGTCATAATTGCTTTCCATCTAAATCATCCAGTCCGTCCCCTCGTTGCAATCTGAAGTGAGTAATGTGTTGCAGCCAGAACAACAAAGCTTAGATCATCATACATCATAAGCATCACTAACACAAAACCAATGTTTTTTTCCTGGTTGTAACAATTCCAATCTGTTACATTAGCATTGCGGCTGTGTCTTTATGGGAATACAATTACTATGTACCTCTAGAATGTAGA